CATTACGGAGGGCCTTCCTATAAGTTTTAAGACTATCTTGCCAAATTAAACGAGAATTTTCCACTTTGGTGGAACGCCAATTCCTCTCAAGTTTCCGCGATATTTGCTTTAATTTGCGAGCTTCAGTATTATACCATGGAGCTAACCGTCTTTGTTTTAGTATTTTCTTTTTTAGAGGGGCTACAGAGTCGAGTGTCATTCGCAGCGAGCCTGCAGCACTATCAACAAGATGATCGATTTGGGAGGGACTGAAATTAGCATAGGAGTCCTCTGTTACTTTGTGACTAGATAATGTATTTAGAGCTGATGGAATCGCATCCTTAAATTTAGCTACAGCACTATCAGACAGACATCTTGTATAGACATTTTTGCCCAATGGCGTGTAGTTCAGCAATACAAACTCAAAAGTTATCAAACAGTGGTCAGATAAAGAGGGATTCTGTGGGAACACCACTAAATGTTCAATTTCAATACCATACACCAAAACAAGGTCGAGGGTGTGGTTAAAACAGTGAGTCGGTTCATGAACACTCTGAGAGAAGCCAATGGAATCTAACAGAGAGATAAACGCAGTACTAAAGCTGTCATTCTCAACGTCCACGTGAATATTAAAATCCTCTACAATAATAACTTTGTCCGTTTTAAGGACTAAAGTTGACAAAAACTCAGATAAGAATTCAGAGTACGGGCCAGGTGCCAAGAAAATTGGTTGCAGTGATTTCCAACTTGGGTGCGAAAGACCAAGAACAAGGCTTTCAAATGAGTTATAGTTTAGTTTAGGTTTAGAGCTGATTAGTAGGCTAGAGTCGAAGATAGCTGCAACTCCTCCTCGGCCTGTGCCTCGAGGAATGTGAGTATTAATATGACTGGGAGGGGTGGATTCATTTAGGCTAACATATTCTCCATCACCCAGCCAGGTTTCAGTAAGACCAAATAAATCAATATCATAATCTGATATTAGTTCATTTACTAGTACACCTTTAGAAGAGAGAGATCTGATGTTTAAGAGTCCACATTTAACTCTCCTATTAGTTTGCACTATTGTTCTTGTGGTTTTAATTTTTATGAGGTTTTTATGCACAGCTCCTCTTCTGTTTACCTTTTTAAATAATTTCAATGGTCGGGGACAGACACCGTCACTATAGGATTTTCACTAAGTAACTCCTGAAATGGAGGAGCAGAGAAGTGTGTTAGACTGCGACTCTGCGTAGGGTTTTGGGTGGGTAACTGCTGAATTAGAAGGGCAGAGAAGTGTGTTAGACTGCGACTCTGCCTCCTGGTCTCAACTCCGGGTTGTCATGGATTTGGTCCACTAATAAACTTGGCCAGATTTCTAGAAATGAGAGCTGCTCCTTCCCAAGTGGGATGGATGCCGTCTCTCCGGATCAGACCAGGTCTTCCCCAGAAAGTCTGCCAATGATCTACAAAGCCCACATCGTTTGCTGGATACCACCTCGACAACCAGCGGCGGAATGACGACATGCGGCTATACATGTCATCACTGGTCAGATTTGGCAGGGGTCCAGAGAAAACTACGGTGTCCGACATTGTTTTTGCATATGTACACACCGACTCAACATTAATCTTAGTGACCTCCGATTGGCGTAACCGGGAGTCATTACCGCCGACGTGAATAACAATCTTACTGTATTTACGTTTATCCTTAGCCAGCAGTTTCAAATAAGACTCAATGTCGCCCGCTCTGGCCCCAGGGATGCACTTAACTATGGCCGCTGGCTTCGCTAACTTCACGTTTCTCAAAATGGAGCTGCCAATGATCAGAGTTGGTTTCTCAGCGGGTGTGTCGCTGAGTGGGGAAAATCTGTTAGAAACGTGAACAGGTTGATGATGCCCCGTGGACTTTGAATGCTTACGACTATCCCTCCTTCGGACAGTCACCCAGCCCCCCCCCTTTCCTGGCTGCACAGGGGATGCCGGAGGACGGCTACCAGAGGCTAACTCAGGCCGTTCCGCACCGACTACCGGGGACTGGCTAGCTACAGTAGCTAAAGACTGATCTACCAAGGTGCGGAGCCGGACTTCTAAATCACTGAGCCTCGCCTCCATGTCTATAAATAAACTACACTTATTACACGTACCATTACCGCTAAAGGAGGCAGAGGAGTAACTGAACATCTGACACACCGAGCAGGAGAAAGTAGGAGAGAGAGAGGGAGAAGGAGAAGCCATCGCTAGCTGCTAAGCTAAAGTCGCTAACGGGTAAGCTAAAGTACTGTAGCGTCAGCTACCAAAACTTTAGAACAACTATGAGATTGAACAGCAGTCACCAAAAGATGGAAAGAACTGTGAGTGCTTAGGCAAAATTACTGTAAAGAATAAGTGTTTAGTGAACAGTTGGCTGCTGTAATCTAACAAATGTAACTGTTATTTAGCGAGAGCAGCACAACACAGTACCAACACACAAGCACCGGAAACGGAAATGAGTCGACACGCTTACCGCAATACGTCAGCAGTACGTCAGCCAGGCATCAATGTGGGAGTTTCTGCGGGAGAATGGGGGGAGGGGGGCCCTTCTCAGGGCTATCCAATCCCTGTACATCCAAAGCAAGAGCTGTGTCCGATAAGTCGGACTCTTTCCAGGTGAAAGTTGGCCTTCGCCAAGTGTGAAGCAGTTGGGATGAGGATTAGCACCTCTAAATCTGTGGCCATGGAAATCTCAGCAGGAAACCGGTGGAGTGCCAACTCCAGGTAGGGAATGAGTCCTTACCCCAAGTGAAGGAGTTCAGGTACCTTGGGGTCTTGTTCACGAGTGAGGGGAGATTAGAGCAGGAGATTGGCTGGCAAAGCTCTCGATCTACCGGTAATTTTCGTTCCTACAGAAAGAACGAGGTCGCAGTTACAAGTGGCCAAAATGGGTTTCCTCAGGCGGTGGCTGGTGTCTCCCTTAGAGATAGGGTGAGAAGCTCGGCCATCCGCGAGGAGCTCAGAGTCGAGCCGCTGCTCCTTTGCGTCGAAAGGAGCCAGTTGAGATGGTTTGGGCATCTGGTAAGGATGCCTCCTGGACGCCGCCCTAGGGAGGTGTTCCAGGCACGTCCAGCTGGGAGGAGGCCTCGGGGAAGACCCAGGACTAGGTGGAGAGATTATGTCTCCACACTGACCTGGGAACACCTCGGGATCCCCCAGTCAGAGCTGGTTAATCTGGCTCGGGAAAGAGAAGTCTGGGGTCCTCTGCTGGACCTGCTGCCCCCGTGACCCGACCCTGGATAAGCGGATGAAGATGGATGGATGGATGTCTTAATAAGAGGAGCTGAGCGCCCCCTGGCTCCCCGGTGGTCTACACCCTGCTTGTAGCATTGCATTAGTAGTTTAAAAAGTTCATAGTTTGATGACATTGCTAATGTTGGTTGGCACTAGCAACCTGCTGGTAACTAGTCATTAATAATGCTAATGCTTATGATGTCCCATGAAATTACCACTTTTTTAATTGTAAATAGGGATATGACTTCATATACAATCCAGTGTTTCCCATTTTCCCAGTCCAGTGCGGCCCTCCATGGTCTAATCTGTTCTGCCACAGTTTCATAGTGAAGCAAAAACATAAACATAATAGGTCTCTAATGTTGTTTTGCGCCATCGCTTTGGCAAAACATCTGTCAAAAGAACTAAAACCAAAAGCACCATATGGCTTTGTTCCGTATTCAAATCACAAGGATGTGCTGTACAGGTCTCAGATGCTGCTGCTTGAGTCCTCACTATGACCAAGAGAGTGGATCACATCACTCCAGTTCTGAGGTCTTTACAGTGGCTTCCTGTTTGTCAAAGAATAGATTCTGAACATCCAGACCTCTCAGGTGGTCTGGGACATTTCTGCTTCCTGTCTCCAGAGTCAAAACTAAACACACTGAAGCCACGTTTGCCACTGCCTTATATCAAATTAAATGTGGGGCTATTTATTTATATCTTGCACTGCACTGTAATTTTTATTCTACTGTTTGCTCTGTCTTATTCCTTTATTTTTTATATCTTTTATCTTATTTGATTTGTTTTATCCGTTTGAAAAATATGCAACAGAAAAAGACAGAGGATTTTCAAATACTTTTCTGTCTTTGTTGAAAGGTGCTATGCAAATAAACTTGCCGTGCTAATATTTACACTAAACAACTTCACACTTCAAACAGCTTTGTGGAATTTGTGGAATGTGCAAAGAGAATGTTTTCTCTGTGTAAGGCAGCGTTTCAGCAGGGTTCAGAAAATATTTTTTAGACTTTAAGAGTTTTTCAATTCCACATAGATATTATTTTGGAGTTTCAGCTCTATTTTTGATAGAGGTAGTAGAGGGACAGGAAAGGCAGGGGAGGATGACTTGCAGCAAAGGGCCCAGGCCAGACTCACAAACATTTCTATCATTGTAAACCGATGAGGTTTCTAGCTACAGCAGCTAGAAGTAGTATTGCTGCTCCAACAACAAACTGTGATTCACCCAAATAGCTCTGCTTCCAGTGTAACTGTGTTCAGGTGAACTCGGACTCCACATTGATATTAAAAAGACTAATTATGTGGGCAATAACTTAAATATGTTGTCATGGTCCAACTGTACTGATCCAGAACTGCTCCAATTAGAGTAACTGGTTGAGGGGCTTTTCAAAGTAAAACGTATGAGTGTTGCAAATAAAACGTGCAGTCATTGTTAGAACCTGAACAGAACATAATGAAATTTTATAGGAATGTTTAAAAATGACCCTAGGTGACCAAAGTGCTTTCCAGGTTCAGGATACACAACAAACATACACAACAAAGACAGTAGAAAAGGTCAAAACTCAACTCTGTTTGAAGGCCGCCAATGAATAGAGGTGGGACTTGAAAATGTCAGCAGTCCGAGCTGTTCTTATTTGAACAGTTAAAGTATTCCAGAGATTAGGAGCAGCACTGAAAAGGCTCAGTCACCTTTAGTTTTAACCTGGATCTGGGGACATCAAGAAGCATCTGATTGGATGACCTCAGTGCTTTTACAGGAGTGTAGACAGGTAATGTTGACTTACTGAGTCTCTGTAGGAGGTTGTCCTTTAAAGTTAACAGGTTTTCTCCTGGACCAGTCACTCTTCATGGACACACAGCTGGGTTCAGGTCCAGGGGAGTCTGGTCTCTGCTGCTTCTCTGGGCTTCAACACAACACACACAGAGCTTTGAATAATGATGGTGGAGAGATCTGAGTGCTGAGCTCCACATGCAGAAGAGTCATGGACAGTTAGAGATCCTCATCTCACCTCTGAGCTTCGGTCTGGCAGCCATGTTTCCCCCACAGAGTGCTTTTACAGGGAGGGACTCCCTCCTCTGTCCCCCCACACTGATTCATGACAGAGCCCACACCTTCACACAAACACAAAGACATGCTGTCAAAGTCACACATTATTTAGCATATTTTAAATGATCAGATTTTCATACATGTTTACAGCTGAATAAAGTTAAACATGAAACAAACATTTTGTTTCTGGCCACAGAGACGACAAAAAGCAGTCAAGACAGTTTAAAGAGGTGGTATTCTGCTCATTTTCAGGTTCCTCATCTTATTCAGAGTTTGTACCAGAGCAGGTTTCCATGGTTATATTTTTGTCATACTGCACATTGCTGCAGCTTCTCTTTTCAGCCTGTGTTGGAGGCTTCGTGTTAGCTATGGAGTGATACATCTTGTCTCTAAATGATCTTTGTTGGGAGTTGCACATGCTCAGTTCCTAGTTAAGGACTACTAGCCAATCAGAAGCAGCGTAGGGCGGGTCAGCGAGAAGCCGGTAAACAGCTCGGGTTCAGCCGTACGTGTTGCCGACCGGCTCGGCAACACGGACTGGAGCGAGAGTTTCAGAGCGGTGAGTTATTAATCTGTATCCATAAAGTTTTAACTGAGCTCTGTCTCTACATCACAGGAACAACTTTATGTCCACTGACTGCCTGGAGGGTAGCTAGTGTTTGGAAGGGAGAGGACTATAAACGAGCAGAGTTTTCTTTGGGAGATGGGAACTCTCTTTGGGCTGGACTTTGGGCTTTTTCACTTTGCAAACCTGTTACATGCACAAAAAAGGTATAGAACTCAATAAAGGAGAGGGGAAAAGGCTATTTTTCCAGTAAAAATAACTAAAGTGAGCGGGTTTGAGCTTCTTAGCATCTTATCTTTAATTATTATGGGATGGTGATGGCGCAGTGGATAAGACACATCGTCCGAGACCCGGATTCGATTCCACTGTGAGACATCCACCAATATGTCCCTGAGCAAGATACTTAACCCCTCGTTGCTCCAGGGACGTGCAACCTCTGACATATATAGCAGTTGTAAATTGCTTTGGATAAAAGCGTCAGATAAATTAATACTTTTGAATGAACTTTTTGTGTTGTTGGAGGTCAGACTGAAGCAGTGAAGTCTAAACAATTGATCGATTGTAAGAAAAACTTATGACTCCATGATGATAATGAAGAGAATGGTCAGAAGAACCGAGAGAAGATGCTTCTTATTGATCCATCAGGAAGAATCAAAGCGGTCTGACGTGCAGCCAGAAAGCCAGGGAGTCAGAATCACAGAGCAGCTGCTGTAGTTCTGCTCTCAGTCCACTAGATGTCATCAATCCTCATCAGTGAACTACAGAGCATCTCAGAGCACAGAAAAATATCTGGTGTCTGTAACATTCACTGGCTGACAGGTTTGTTATCTTAGCACTGAGAGCAGTTCTTCAGGTTTATGAAGAAACAGCTGAGACATAAAGACAAGAGAGCTGCCTGACGGCCTCATGTTTGCATAAACTCGCTCTGTATCTCTACAGTGATTGGTTGATAGGTGACCAGTCTGTGTCTGTGAATGTCAAGTAAAACATTTATCAACCCAGTAAACCCTCCCTTATTCATATGTATATGATGTTTTTTAATTTTCCTTTTCCCCCATTCATTTTTGCTCAGTGTCAGCATTCCTCTGGGTTGGTTAGAGGATCATTCAGATCACCTGTTGGGGGGGGGGGGACTCCTCAGCAATGATTGAGAGCAGCTTGTTTCCCTCTTGGCCAATCAGGGCGTGACGATGCCCGTTCTTGATGGCATAAGAGAGGTGGGGAACAGTACAACCATGGGGAGTCTGTGCCTCCCTGGATTCAGATTCAGATTCAATTCAGATTCAGATTCAGATTCAGAAGCGTGAAGCTCTGTCCTTTAGAACCCTCTGAGATCTCTCTGCTATCTCTGGTTTTTAATCACTGAAAGAGATTTAGGACCTGAACACAGAGTGAACTTAGTGCTTGTACCAGGGCTTTGGGGGTGTTCATGCAGGAGTTTCTTTGTCTCACAATCAGCTGCTGCCTACAGATTTTACTTATTTATGTTCATTGGTTTGTTTTCATTAAATACCTTAACCATTTCATTGCCTTCTTTAAGAGTTCTTTGTTCATTAGTGAAGATGGATACAGACAGACTAGAATCAGATTCGGGTTTATTGCTAGGTAAATATATGAGGGATTTGCCATGAACATAAATATAGAAATTTACAACAAGTAGAAACAGTTTATGAAATAAAACTATAATGCTAATACAAAATATTTACAGGATAATTAACACGGAATTTGTGAAAATTAACAATATGAGCAAGAAAGAATTAGTGCAATGCACACAGTTTGAAGTTGTAAGTCATCAGTCAGGTGTTGTGGTGGGAGGCATGAGAGCCAGCGACAGTGGGGGTCCCAGGCCTTGTTGAGGTGGTCTGCTGCAGATGGAAAGAAAGTGTTCTGGTGGCAAAGATTTTGGTTGTCTGGGGTGGGAGGGGTCCGCTGCGATCTTTGATACCCTTATTGCTTAACGATCCGATTCTTTATCAATACCGCTATCGATACTTTACTATCATTTAGTGATGGTTGTTTGGTAAGACCAGACCCGATGGGCATGAGGCAGGCCTGCACGGTGTGAGGAAAATATTCAATGTGCGATAACGTTATCTATTGAGATGACACCTCAATAGATAATAGAGAAGAGAAGGGAAAGAATGCAGCCTTGAGGGGAACCGGTGCTGATGGTCCTGGAATCAGAGACATGTTTCCCCAACTGCAGGGGGTCCAGGAGTGGGTCTGTGATGGATTTAAGGTGGGACAACACAAGGCGCTCAAAAGACTTCATAACCACAGAGGTCAGGGCGACGGGTCTGTAGTCGTTTAGTCCCGTGGTCCTTGGTATCTTGGGGACAGACTGCTACAAAGCCTCCACCATCATGGAGGCTTTGTAGCAGGCTGGCACATGGCACGTCTCCAGTGAGGTGTTAAAAATGTCTGAACACCGGAGACAGCTGATCAGCACAGTGCTTCCGGGTGGATGGCGATGAGGAGTACAAATACGTATTAAGTACTACAAATACATCAGACGTATAAACTGGAAGATTTAATACATGAAACCAAATGAAATATTGACTAGTTAAATATTCTATTTGCATGTAAAAATTTTGTCCATTTGCCAAAATAAATATTCATATTTTCACAAAGTAACTTCACTTATTTTCACTTTCAGCGTTACAAAATACATTTACATTTATCCTAGCAGCACAGTCCTGTAGACCGATTTATTGAAGAGCTGATTGGTTCATTATTAACACGCTGCCATCAAAAAATGATTTTAAAAGTTTATTGTCGATAGATTTTTTTTCGAAAACTAAGACATGTTGAGGCTGATCACTGCAGCAACTGACTGTGAGCAGCTCTCAGCTCAGACCTGAGGAACTGCTTCAGTGGTGAAGCACTGTGTGAATCAGAGGTTTTTAAAGTCTGGAGTTTCAAATCACTTCCCTCATTTGTCTCTATGAGCGTCACATCCTCTGCTGCTGTTAAGCGGCCAAATCAGCAGACAAACTACAATAACTAACTTCCTACTACTTTCAGAGCACCTGCACCTTTAACCCCACTCAGTGTCTTTGTCTCACATCTTAAAGTTAGGACTGACACACCCTCACGCAGCCAGGTGAAACTATAATCCTGAGGATTTGTGACACTGAAAAACCAGTTTAAAGATTACAATCTTGTTTTTTTTGTTTGTTTTTTTTTAAACCTGTCCTGCCCAGCAGCCTGGTATAGAGTATGATGACCTGGATACCATATTGTGCCAGACACATTGTACTTTAACAAGAGAGTATTAATATACTCCTTTGTCTGTTTTATTATTTATTTAATTATGTATTGATTTGTCACCGGGCAGACATGGGGGGGCACAAACAGACAGCAGAGAGAAAGGACAAGACCTGCAAGGGAAGGGGGATGGAAGGTGGGGACAACAGGGAAAAGCAGTGGGAAACACCACAGAAAGCAACGAAACCTGCAATAGAACAGAGAGGGGGGAGGAGAAAAACAACAACAACAAACACAAACAAAAACAAACAATGAAAATAATAGTAAAAGACAACCAGCCGAACAGCAGCAATGAACAGCTGACATAGTAAGACAACTAAGAGAAAAATGAAAACAAGAAACAGTCTCCCAGATGCACCGCGATGCAAACGCGGAAGACCCCGACCCAAATGCCAGTTGACAACATAATGCCGACAGAACGCAAGAAGCGTAACCCGCGGAAGAGCAGCACCCCACCGCCGCGCAGCGAACCCAAATGCCACGCAATCATCAACACCAATGCACAAGTGACGAGCCCAACGCACACACTGAGCGAGCACGGCGACACCCAATGCCCAGCAGCCCCCCGCGAATCCCGCGTGCGAGGTCGGGCAAACGAGAGAGAGCAAGCGGAACAACACTACAGCGAAAGCTAGCGGAGAGAAACACCAGCAGCAAGTCCCAGCCCGGCACAGGCCACCGCGCACCCGCCAATAAAAGTCCGCCGTCCCCCCAACCGTCGGAAAAAAACTAAGGCCGCCGGCGCCAGCCGACATCCCCCATGCACAGCGTGTCCCCCAGCCGCCGTGCAACACCAGTCAAACCAGCAACAGGCAAAATCAGCTAGCTCAGCTGCATGCCAACACCAACCCATCCACCCGTCAAGGGCTGAGAACTCCAGGCACAAGCCCAGAACAAACCGGAGCACAGCCCTGCCCAACTGCACATCCCGAAAACTAACTATATACCTCAGTATCCAGAGGGGTCCAACAACTGGCCGACAGAGAAATGAGGAAGCACGGATCCTAGGCAAACAAAGCAAAACAGGGACGCAAACTGGTCCCTCCAAGCCAACGAGGAAATACCTCCCCCGGACTCCAATGCACAAACTAAACGCCCAGCAGCCATTCAGAGACCCTGCCCAGGGAAAAAGCACAATGCATCGACAATCGCCCCACAATCCCACCGCAGCCCTCCACACCGCAACCGGATCAACCCGTGCAGAGACCCCCACCCCCAGAAGCCAGGGCACCCAGCGACCCCCCAAAGCACAAAGGACCCAAGACCGCATGTCCAGGGGGAAGCTGTACCCCGCCCCAAGGAAGAACAGCGATTGTCGGGTCGGAAATAAGGACCGGCCGGGCCAGTAAAAGACCTGGTCCCTACCCTAACCAACGTAATAAACTCAATAAAATTACTCTATTAGATTTCTTCTTTAGTCAAAAAACTGCGTAGTCAAAAACTTCACTGGAGACGGTCAAGAGTCGGTGCAAAAGAGTTTATTCCAATAAAGGACCGATAAACCCGAGTAACATCCCTGCAGGTCTCAGGATGGAACCGAGTTGGTGGTCAACGAACATCGCCTTATATTCACCTTAAGCTCCACCTTGTCCCTCCTTTCAGGTGGGCGTTACACCTTAACTCCACCTATGGTGTTCGCTGACCACTCCTCCACTTTGGTGCATTTCTTATCCTCTACTGCCTCTAGTGGCCTTTTTCTTGTACTGTTTTACCAAATTAACCCTTTCATTAATGTTACAATTTCCACTTTTTAGCTATTATTACATGTAATTATTGTTACCATTTATCTCTCTTTATATTTTTTACATTACTGGATTAGAAATCTACCAATATGTTTCAACTTCAGTCCCACTGTATTTTTTTAAAAGTTATACAGGCATAGTTTGATACCATTAAAACTTAAACACTTACAATCGTATTTTTTAAAAGAATTAATAAGGAGTAACATATTTAATACATGTATAACGTGATTCAATGAACAAGTACATTATTCAACAATGCCAACCATGAGGGTGCTTTGTCTCATACAAGTTTAGTTTCGGCAGCGCAAAGCTTGGTTTCATGCAGTACCAGGCGCCATAAATCACAATGTGTCATGATCTCATTCTTGGCCTCAGTTCGCGATGATCTCAGCCCTGGCGTACGTGACTTACTGCAGGTGCCTTGCTTCCATTGAGTGGGTTACGGTTGGCTAGGTTTTGCCTGCGCGGCCTGAGCAGCTTCTCTGCTCATGTAAGCACATTGAAAAAGCACACGTTCATGAATACACAGAGTATAAGAATAATATATGATAAACACACAGAGTATAAGAATAAAATATGAGTTTGAACACACTCATTAAACACTCAGTAGTTAAACACTCAGTAGTTAAACACTCAGTAGTTAAACACTCAGTAGTTAAACTGTACACTAAAAGAATAACAGCAGCGGTCAACACCTTTACCCTGTGAGATCACAGTCATTCTTCCAGTGGCTACACTACAAACACTTCTAAGGAGTAACATATTGTAAACCAACAAAGTGTATAAATATAGAAAAAGAGCGAACAAACAATCTAGGAATTAGGCATTATTCAACACGATAACGCGGGAGAACTAGGCCAACAGTCCCCCAGCCCAGCCAGAGGCATCCCTCCCCAGAGTGCAGGCAGTGCCAGCAGCCCCCGAGGCCAATCTCATCCCTGGACAGGGGCCCAGCCCCCCCAGTCAAGCACCCCCAAGGAGGAGCACCAAAACCTACCCCGACAACACCGGCCATGTGCCCCAGAGACTCCTGAAGATTACAATCTTTAAACACAGTAGTACAAACTGTACATGTTTCAGTACAACGGGCTGGAATGTGTTCCTAGAAGCGGCAGAAAACAACGTGGACGTTTACTCAGAATCATCTGCTACACTAGCTTCAACAATTTTGGAGATTTGGATAAATACTGGGACTGCAGGTCCGAGCTCTGAAAGGCAATCCAGGGACAAAGTGGAGGCAGACCACCAGGAATATGTGGACTGGACTATAAAAGAGAGTCTGCTATAATGAGGAAGTGTCTGAATCTCTCCCAGATGAACTGAACACCAAAAGGCCCAGGACCCCCGCCCACTGGAAACATCTGGGGCAGAGGGGAGTAAAGCTTTCAAAATAATGAAGCTACACAGGCTCCTGGTCCTGATGGTCTCCCCGGTTTGCATAAAGGCCCAACAGGTCAACAGGTGACGCCATTTCCCTGGCCTTCCACACAGCCCTCTCACACCTGGAGTCAGTGGTTCATCTACCTGCGCCGGCTGAGGAGGTTCAACATGGACATGAAGATACTGCATCATTTACAGATGCACTAGTGAGAGTTTCCTTACAGGCTGCTTCACCGCCTGCACCCTGTTTCAGAGAGCAGGTTTAGTGAAAACTCTGAGTAAGTTGAGCCCGAGATGAGGGAAACTCTGGGTTTTCGGTTTCAGAGAGCGAGATCAGATAAACTCTAGGTCTGTAACCCCGGCAACTTACACTGTGAACCTGACCTGCTCGGGAGGAGGTCTACTTCAACAAACGTTGAGTTTCTCTCCGACTCCTCCCCTCCTGCGAAGCCTGAAGCGGCCGTCTGACATTTCCTCTTTCAGACTGTCTATCAAAGCATGTATTGGATGCAATTACGTCTTTAGAAACCTCAAAATCACGCTTAACCCTATATGGTACGGTGTTGCCTCTGGGCAACGTACCCTTCTTGCCCTAGTACACCTCCAACAAACATCCCAAAATATGATGTATTACTTTAAAAGAGTTAAGGAAACCAGTAGCTCAGTCCGTAGGATTAGGCTGGGAACCGGAAGCAACGTCATACCATTCTGGAATCTCGCCATGTCCTTATTTGGTGTTGTGCATTAGGTTTATATATTGCGCAAAACAGTTAAGATAAATTTCTCTCATTTTACATGAATTAATTCATTAATTATACAGTAGATAATGATAGTTGTAATAACACTGTAATAAAAATGTTATTACTCAGGATAATTTAACCTTACGCTTTGTTGTTCTGCCTGCAGAGCATATGCTTATATTTTAAACACGTTGTTCCTCCATTAAGAGGATGAACAAAAGTTTTCTATGGTTCAAGGAAAAGGGCACTTCCAGTTGATGGTACTAAGGATGAATAAGGATTTAGTAGTGAGGAAAACAGTGAGTTTGAGGTCTAAGAACGCAGATGAGGAAAAGAGTGAAGAGCAGTGAGGATGACAGGGATGAGTTTAAGAGAGAGGAAACCTATTTAATAACCTGTCTTCTCTTACTGATAATGTGATGCATTTTGTTGAACTTCTATGTTTTGTCAACTTCCATAAATACTAAACCAAAGACCAAAGAGTTATCTTTGGACATGGTGGATTTATCCTCAGCACAGAATAAAATCTCTAAGCTACACTGTCCTTCTTTAGAACACAGTGACTCTGTGGACATTAAGGCATCAGTCAGGTTGGCAACAGCTGCACAAAAACACTTACCGTGAGCTACATTACTGCAGTATAGCCTGCTGTTTAAACTAATCTTTATAAAACTGATCCATGAACAGTAATCTCTCATCTTGCAGTCGCACAGATTGAACATTCCTATCGTAGTTATCAGCTGGATGTGATATGAGTGAGGATGACTGTGGTGCAGCTGAAACAAATAAATGTAGTTTAAAAATGAGTTTTTCATTATCTGCTGATCGTCTGAATGTGTTTTGACAGCATTTCATAAAATACCAAATGAGCCAGACTGTATTAATGTAACATAGACATCTAAAACTTCACAGTCAGTTTGAACCTGGACACATTTTCCACTGAGTCGGACTGTCACTTTACAATCACAGGACCATGAGGAGCCTAAACTGTTTCTAATCTGTTCGATTAATATTTTCATCATCAGTTATTTCCACCGGCATTTAGTCCCGTCAGGTTCCAGCTGAATAAACAGGCCTAGCTTTTTAAAATGAATAACAGGCTGGAGGAGAATTCAGCACTTTATCATTCATTAAGGAAATTCCAGTCTGGTAAATGATGAATGAGCAACGCTGTATAAAATGTAATGTTGTTAAAGTATCGATACGCCACTCCTGCGTTTTAGAGCCAATCACGGTCCGCGTTGGCAGTATTCATATTTCTAGTTCCACCCGATTAAAATGGAGGCTTAGACTCAGAGCTCAGGGAAAAGCTCAGAGTTTATTGAACCTGCTTTCTGTGGCAGCTGCACCCAAACCACAAGCATTTATAGCAAATATAACTCTTACACTCATTAGTGTTTCTCTGACCTCCAGAGGACGTTTGAACTACCCGAGAGAGGATCTCAAACTGAAAAGGGTGGTGATGGGGCAGTGGATGAGACACATGCCTGAGCAAGACACTTAACCCCTCGTTGATCCAGAGGCGTGTGCCCTCTGACATGTATAGCAATTCGTTTTGGATAAAAGCGTCAGCAATAATGACAAAAAAGAGGATTCAGATCCAGCAGAGTTCACTTACTCAGCTTATTCCCATGAACGTCCATCAGTCCAGCAGCTCTCACTCGTGTCCGGATCAGGTCTGTCTACAGGAAGAGGGTTAGAATAATCTCAGTGTGACCACCTGCTTCAACACAAACTCCACCCAGCAGCATGAAAACACTTTAACCCAGTCTGAGCCTGCAGCTCAGGTCAAAGTTCAGATTTTAACATTTTAACATGAGTTTATTACTTGAAACATTCAACCCCGCCATCTGCAGCAGACGACCTGCTGTCATTAAAACATCACTTATTTCTCTTCATACCAACACATTCATCTCTGCTCTCCACCAAAGTGCTGACAATGTTTCTGGTGTTGTGGACAGAAAGTAAATGTTCCACAAAAGTGCAGTTAATGAAAACTGAGCAAAGACTTTTAGAGGAAGACGACTCCTCCCTCAGAGAGGGAAATCAAACATCCATCACAGCTCTCTGCTACATGCTCAGACAGCCTTCAACAATTTACCAAGTAAAACTAGAACAGTATCCGCATCAAAATGTACTTAAAGTACCAAAAGTAGCAGCACTCGTCCTGCAGAATGGCCCATTTCAGAATAATATGTATTGTTTATTTTAATTGTTAGTGCATTTATTAGTTCATCACTTTAATTAAAACTAATTAAAGATTAGAACTTTATCTGCTCGGAAGGTGGTGAATTTCCCCCTGCAGATTTTATCCTCATCTATAATAACACATGATGATTCATCTGTTCACTGTGTTTTGCTGAATCTACAAAGTTACTTGTAACTAAAGTTATCAGATGAATGTAGTGGAAGTGTAAAGTAGCAGAAAATGAAATTCTGTACTTGAGAAACCTCCAGAAGGTAAACTGGTGTTCGAACTACAGACATATTAGTAGAGCCACAGGTGTCATTTACAGTTGCCGTTACACGTTTGAACATGTCCCCTTCACTTTGAAAGCATTTGTTCAAAATGTTCTGAAAAATAGATTACAAGAAAAATGAAAATGCTTTGAGAAGGTTTCTTTGCACAATACGAGAACATGCAATGTAAATGTAGAAGCAACAAATGTGCAATAAAAGTAACTTTCACTGAAAAGCACGCTCCTGATCACTGCATTGTATTCCCTGACATGTTTCTATTTTGAATATTCCTTTTTTTAAATAAATAAAGACATTTCCACTATGAATTGATGCAGAAAATGTCTCCAGAATGCAGAAGTGTTTAACACCCATGTGTCATTTACACTGGGGGACATGTCCCCACCACTTTTTTAAAGCATAGTTTGTTCTGAAATGCAGCTTGCAGGTAAATATCAAATGAAAATGCCTTTAGAAAGATTTATTTGTACATAAGGAAAACATGCAACGCAATTAAAATATAAAAGTCACAAATGTGCATTGTTAAAAAAACAAGCTGCTGATTCTAAAATGCAGCAGCAGTCAGTAACTTTAACAACTTGTTGCCACAGTTTCTTTTTGGCCAAGTTTTCCGCTCTCTCCCTGTGAACATGACAAAAGAGGAGGAGAAACTAAACCAGGCCTCAGCAGGGACGCTGTTACAGGAGAAACAGATCTGAGAGCTGCTCTCACTCACATTCTGTCAGATTTAGACATTTTGAAATGTCTCCTGCTTCCTGAATTCTGTGTTTCCTTTTAAAAACATTTCCACCATAAATTGGTGCAGAAACTTTCACCGGGATGCAGGAAATGAAGTGTTTAAAGATCAAATTTTCCTGGTGGAGGCCCCCCAGAGCCCCGATCATGTATCTCAGCATTGAGGAAATCTTTAAAACACTGTTTAAGGATGTTTTTGTCTCGTTCTCGTGAACCTGATATCGTGATGTCTCACTGAGCTAAGTGTCTCTTCACACCCCTAATCTGAGCCCCTCGACCCCCCTCTTATATATTTCAGCATTTCTATTTCTTCAAAATGCTGTTAAAATATCTCCACTTTCTCATGAACCCATTATTGTGCATCGTCAGCTAAGTGTGTCCACTTCAATAAAACACAATAACCAGGTTTCATAAAATCCCTTCAGAGTGCAGCTCCCTGTGGCAGAGAAAGGATTTCTACTTCCTGCTCAGATGCTAAGAGTCTGAAACGTCCATGTTCCTGACGTCAGTGCTGACAAACACAGTTTCCTCACTGGACTTTGCCTCCTGAAGGTTAATCAGTCTGCAGGATTTAATCAGGCGCTGATGCAAGTCTTTACAGGATGTTACGCTTTGATAATCACTTCGTACAGCAGAACCTGTGAAGGCTGCAAATGATTCTCCGTCAACGGAACATGATGCAATGTCATGGGAACGTTTCCTGTTGGCTGGGACCATGCGGCCTGACTGAGTCTCTGTTGTGTAGTCTACTGGCTGACTCGAGGACCCGCGGCTCTTGATGGACACAGCTGGGTTCAGGTCCAGGAGAGCTTCTGATCTGTAATGTAGTCTGGAGTTTGCTTTATCAACAGCATCCTGTGGAGCCCCTGCAGGTTTGAGGAGTGGACCCCAAAATGTGCTGTCAGTCTGGAAAACGCTGCTGAAATAAATCTGTTTTTATTCAACATGATGCTTTAATGTTTATATCTTTATAATAAAACCTGCCACAGTGTGAGTCCAGTATAAACCATCCAAACAGACCGGTTTTAGCCAGTTTACCCTTGTAACTCTGACGCTGGTGCAATGTCACCATTTAATTTGCTGAGAACATAAGGTAAGCTAACATCAAGTCAAAGTTATGTGAATATAATAATAAATATTGACCAGTCAAAGCGCCTGATTGCCTCTTCAGCCGGAGCTCGTCTGAGTTTGACAGTAAATGCAAGGCGCTCTGCCACCTCTGTGTCACACCTGCTGTTTAATTTGAGAAGGGTCATTTTCTAAGATGTTAGTTTTGTGAACTCGGGGACTTTGAAGTGTTCTGGCTGCAGGAGGGTCGAGGCGAGAGGAGACACAGGAAGACTAAGGAAGGCGATGTACCAGGTCATCCTCGGACCCAAACCTACTGTGTTCGCAGCAGGTCCGTCCTTAGGCTTTTGATGCTGGTCTGGTTTCTTTGACCCAGGTAAAGGCGTTTGGAAAGTGTTTGACAGTGAGAGTGCATGAACATCAGTAGTGGGTTTTCTGAACCTCCAGGTCAAAGACAAGGCTGCTCTATGTCTCTGATGTTAGACGCAGTTTCTGTTGAACCAATGTTCCACAATATTCTTTCCTTTAGTGATGGTCCGCTTTTTCCTGATTTGAACCCGTTTATTCTGCAGGGCTCGCTGTTCCAGAGTCCAGGTTAGGGTCAAAGGGTGATTTAAAGTTTTACTTCCTACTACTTGGCTTTTAATTGATTTCTAGCATTTAGTTGTTCTTGTTCTTTTTTATGCTGTCTATGGAAAGGTCAAAGTGCGAAATAAATTATTATTATTATATATTATGAAGATGTGAACTGGTTAGAAACTTTTTGGTAAAATCTCGGCTGAAAAATTGACGAAGCAGCGAACACCGTGTCCCGATATCTGGACTACAGGATTGGTCATTTAATAGTGTCTCCCACAATTTAGACTCTTTTATCCAAAGCGTCTTACACGTCAGAGGTCGCACACCTCTGGGGTTCAGTGTCTGGTAGATGCGTTACAGAGGGGGGATTGAACCAAACCAAAGTCATGTGTCTTATCCGCTGTTCCATCACCACCCCTTCCTAAGGCAACATAGTCCACTCCCAACTTGTCCCACGCTTGGACGAGCGTTCAAGTCTTGACTTTAGCCTCTCAAAATGAAACGTGGTTAATGTTGTGAAACAGCCACAGGTTGGTCAGGTTTAGGAAAAGATCATGGTTTGGGTTTGGGTTAATATAGGGTGACCAGATGTCCCCGGTTTCCGGGGTAACGTTATCGCCCTGTATCTTCACGTCTACAGCTGCTTTTATCTGGATCAAACAGATAACGTCTAAATAAACATCACTTTATGTCCCTGGTGATAGCAAAGGTAAAGGTAGAGTTTGTGAAACTCTAACGTTCTTTAACAGAATAATTACAATTGTGGATAATCACAAAAAGTGTTTATAGCGTGATCAGGCCGGACATTTAGTGATTATAGGCAACAACAGAAGCCTGTTGCTGCTGATGGGTTTTATGTTTGGTAGGCGTGTGTCTAAGATCCTTGTTTATATTTGGAACAGACTGCAGCCTATAATTAACAGGACTTACTGCTGAGTTATCTATAAAAGAAAACCATGATCTCTTCTTATCCTTTCTATTATTTAACTTGCTGTGTACCGACCAATCCAGTCCTTTTTACCTGTTGAAATACCTTTAAATGGCCAAAAAGATGCATTGTTCTCCTTGCCAGAAAGTGACTGCAGCCTCTGTTGACTGAAATGGGGAGAAGTTGTGTTAGTAACATGCAATAATGGGATGAGGTTGCATACAGAGGGAGAGAAAGTAGAGGAGAGAGGAGCTCAGTGCATCATGGGAAATCCCCCGGCAGTCTAGGCCTATAGCAGCATAACTAAGGGATGGTTCAGGACTACCTGAGCCAGCCCTAACTATAAGCTTTATCAAAGAGGAAAGTCTTAAGCCTACTCTTAAATGTGGAGATGGTGTCTGCCTCCTGAACCCAAACTGGAACCTGGTTCCACAGGAGAGGAGCTTGATAGCTGAACGCTCTGGCTCCTAGTCTACTTTTGGAGACTCTAGGAACCACAAGTAACGCTGCATTCTGGGAGCGCAGTGCTCTGGTGGGGTAGTAAGGTACTATGAGCTCTTTAAGATAAGATGGTGCCTGACCATTAAGAGCTTTGTAGGTAAGAAGAATGATTTTAAATTCTATTCTGGATTTTACTGGAAGCCAATGCAGAGAAGCTAAAACAGGAGAAATATGATCTCTTTTCCTGGTTCCTGTCAGAACACGTGCTGCAGCATTCTGGGTCAAGGCAAGTTTATTTGTACAGCACATTTCAACAACAAGGCAATTCAAAGTGCTTTCCATTAAACATAACAGCAATTGAAATCCAATTTTAAAAAGATTGAAATAAAACAGGGTTGAACAGGACAGTACGATATTGATCTACAGCCTCACATTTGACTTAATTAAAGGCAGTAAAGTCTTCAGTCTTGATTTAAAAGAACTGACAGTTTCAGCAGACCTGCAGTTATCTGGGAGTTTGTTCCAGATATACGGAGCATAATAACTGAACGCTGCTTCTCCTTGTTTAGATTTGACTCTGGGGACAGAAAGCAGACCTGGTCCCAGACGACCTGAGAGGTCTGGATGGTTCATAACGAAGCAGAAGATCAGAAATGTATTTTGGCCCTAAACCATTTAGTGCTTTATAAACTAACAGCAGGATTTTGAAATCAATTCTTTGACATACAGGAAGCCAATGTAAAGACCTCAGAACTGGAGTGATGTGATCCACTTTTTGGTCTTAGTGAGGACTCGAGCAGCAGCGTTCTGAATCAGCTGCAGCTGTCTGATGGATTTCTTAGGGAGCCTGTAAGGACTCTGTTACAGTAGTCGAGTCGACTGAAGATAAATGCATGGATAAGCTTTTCCAGGTCCTGCTGACCAGCTGAAGAGTCTTAATGGACTTATTCGAGCAGCCGGATAATAAAGAACTGCAGTAATCCAGCCTAGAAGTAACAAATGCACGGACGAGTCTTTCCGCATTATTGTGAGACAGGATGTTTCTGATTTTGGAAATGTTATGTTGGTCCTCGTAGTTTGTTTGAAGTAAGTGTAACCGGCCCTGAGTTGTACTGCATGGTCCTGACACAAACTACAGGAAGCGGACACATGGGTGCGTCTCGTAAGGCGTCAGGGAGGGAGGTTTACTCCCTGCACCGTTACATGAGAGTTAAAGGATATGGCTTGGAGAAGTAGCTTAGATGTAGTAAACTACTATTTTTTTATTTTTTTGCTGTAACTTAGCTTCAGGGTCGAGAAGCTTCATTTAAATGTGGAGTAAGTGGTTAGATCACTACATTTTAGGTAGTTTCCTAGTAGTTTTACCGTCTGGGGGGCTTGAAATAAGCTCAGGTGAAAACACTTCCGAGACTGAACCCCCACACGGGGTTTGATCCGCCCGGTCTTCTGGACACCCTCTCAGACCACGTCCTTCTTACACCTTCACCGCTCCCCTCCTACATGCATTAATCCGTACGTTCCACATTTTTCCTGAACCTCTAAATTAGATGCTGTTGTGGTTATTTATAAGAAAGGTTCTTTATGTTTAAATTGAGACAGTTTCACGTGGACACAGATTTATTGGTCCTCTTCTAGTATGGTAACTTTTTGTTCCACTGCCTGGTTTGTTACATTATTACTGAATAAATAAGAGAGCCAACATGTGCAGTGAGACTTCTGGACAGCAGCAAAATGCCACGACGATGACGTGCGATCTGCAAACTGTTCCCGTCAGGCAGGCGGTGCAGGGCGCCATCCCTCTGAACCCAACTGGGCCCGCAGATCACTTGTGCCAACCAGGACTGCACCGCTGAATCAGCAGTGAAACGAAACCAACCGAACCTCTGGGTGTGAACCTTACTGTATTATGTCGAGCGCTCTGGTGACGTTTCTGTTTGGTGTTAGTCTGAAGATCGCTGAATGGCACGCACATTACCAAAAAGATAATAAATCTATGTCTTTAAATATAATTGGCTGGGAGCTAACTGAATCTCTGTGAACTAAAGCGCAGGACTGCAGCCGGCAGGATGAAGCTACAGAGAACCTCCTGATCTCCCTCTGTGAGCAGGTAAAACACGAGCAATACGCAGCAGTTTGCAGAAGAAACCTGAACATGCTTTGTGTCTCAGTGGGAACAGACTGTTATTGGATACATCTCTTTGGCCAACCAAACCAGTCCGACTCGTTGGCTTAAGAGTTTTAAGCCATTTCCCTGCAGCCCTTTGCTCTGTCAGAGGAAAGACAGAGTATCTCAGCTGTGAGCGATGTTGGCGTCAACATCCTGGAAGACGTCCCTGCTGGAATAAAACCCTCGACAACCCGGTGACTTCAAACCTTCAGATTTATTGTGTCTTTAAATGTAGAAAACAGATTCAGATTTAAATTCAACACAGAATCAAAATGTGATCGTGGAAGAGAAAAGAGATTTAATTTGTACCCTTCAGAGACCAGATTACATTTCCCATCTTATTTGAGTAAAGTTATTTCAATGCTTTAATTTTAAAATGTCAGATTTTACTAACATCTATTTATCTGAAGGATTCAGATTCAGAGCTCATTGTAGAAAGCAAATGTGCCAAAATAGATAACATGTGAAATAACAAAATCCCTTAAATGACTTTAATATGCGTGATAAAATGAGCGAAAAGAAACAAGGAAGAAAAACTTTTTTTTTCTTCTAGTGACAAACACAGTGAGATTTTATGATTAAACTAAAAAATAAAATACAATTTATGGCAGAAATAAAAACCCAAATCAAACCGCAACCGAGCTTCAATAAAACCAAAACATTTTCATTTTAGAAAGAATTTTTGTCAACTCTCAATATCAATAAAAAAGTGACAAGTTCAAATGTTCGTGTTGTTCAGCCACTCGGATCTTTTCTCTGGATAGAACAAACTGCAGGTCACTGACTGAACGCTCAGATGATCTCTATTTATATCTTACAAAATGATGTAAACCTTGATTTTATATGTATATAGTTTTTTATTTTAACAGCAATTTAACGAAGTCAGAAATCAGGCAGGAAGTAATAAATCATGTTAATGATCTGAAATCTGAATTATGCTTAGTTAGATTGTTAATTGATAATCAGCAGCTGATGTTCAAGCCACAGATCACCATCAGATGTATTTCAGTAAAGCTGCTCACTTGATACATTTTTAATGACTGTGGTGAAAACTGTTAATTAGAAAACATTTCAGTCACTCAAACAAAAACATTATTTGTGATTTGAAGATTTCTGATAAAAATGTTTCAGTTCAGTGTTTTTTCCTTTTTGTAAAATCCAAATGATGTTCCACCTTAATAACAGCATTAAATATTTATTTTAACTCCCTAGCAAACAGAGGCGGAGGTCACGTGTCAAACTGACCAGCTAGTGAACATCTGAACATTTAGTGAAGCTCTTCCTCTTGACTGCAGCCAGTTAGCTTAGCTTAGCATAAAGAGTGGAAACAGCTCGCCTGGCTCCATCCAAAGGGAACAGATTCCACCTCCCAGCAGTGCTAAAGCTCCCGATTAACACGTTATATCTGCTTTATTTAATCAGCACAAAATCCAAAGTGACATCTTATCATTTTACAGGGAGGGTTATGTGCCGGACTATTTCCAAGAAAGCAGTCATTCCATGTCGTTAGTGTCAGACTGCAGAACTATCACAGGCCTATTGGTTTTACTTTGGCAGCTACTTCCTGTAATTACAGATTTCAGTTCAATTTCATTATTATGAGTAAATTAAACGCAACCGATCAGCTTTACAGTAAATTCATGCGGAGGTGAATCATCTTCTGTTATGGAGTAAAAAAACTCAAATAATGTTGAGTGCAACAACTTTAAGGCACGTTCAGTGACGGCGAGTGCTCAGTGAGATGCAGTCTGACATAGTAGACTTAGTAAATCCTCTTGTTGGGTCGTCTCTGGAGTCCACAGCTAATGTCGACCTACAGTTAGCAGCTCAGTCCTGATCTTGCTCCCCCGTCCACACCAGCGTTTTACCAGCGTATCAGAGTTGATCTCTGTCTATATTAAAATGAAAACGCCGTTCACGTACACTGGGCAGGCGCGTGCCGGTGTAAACAGGAAGCAGATGGTCTGTTCCGTAGTTTGGCGAAAGAATAAAGTTCTACAGACGAAGAAGCAGATTTTATTTTGCATGGACCGATAACGAGCTGGGACTGTTACTGAATGGAACACGGGAGTTCATTTCAGCGGCCGCCGTGAGAATCTTTAGTCTGACATCTGTTTCAACTATTACTGTGAATCCTGATGGTAAACGTTTTCATTTTAAACTGCAAATGTTCTGTGTGAGAACGCAAAGCCCGACAGACGAAGGTTTGCCAAACGGTCAGCGTACCTAAAATGTGTTTCTTCTGAAGGCTGATGTGAAACTGTCCGTGTGACGGGACGGAGGTTGTGAGGTGCTGTGTCTCCAACAGCAGCACTGCAGCAGTGTGTTCTGCTGTACTGTAATCACACGACCGCTTATGGTTTTTAAATCCTCTGTTAATATGATGAAGCGTTAAGAAAGGCCACAATCTCAGTCTTTCTCATCCTGGATCTGCACAGGCAGGACTTCAGACAGGGACTGCAGGGCTGCAAAGACTCTCAGCCCATCTTCCTTAAATTTGTCCCGTAAAAGAAGTGTTCACTGTCGTTCAACCACAACCTTACAACAACTTCCTGTTTCATAAACCGGACGTAGCCGAGAGAAATAATCACAACAGCCTGAAACAAGCTCTGCTTAGTAACCAAAGGAGATAAAGACGTCCGGGCTCCTGAGAGCAGACTGACTTCAAAATAAAACTCACGTCTTGAGAGGGCTGGACAATAAAACAATAACAATAATTATCTCAATATAATTTTCTTCAATAACAATAGAAAAAATGTCCAATAAATATTCAATAAATGTGATTTTATTTACTAGAATCATACACGAATTAGGACTTAATTTTACTTTTATCATAAATATTTTGAATGTTCTCAGATTTGTGATGTGATCCACTGTTTGGCATCAACACTCATCACTGTTTGTTCTGGTCATAAAGAAAAGTTTAAACCACAATTAACCATCAGATTTCTTCAACTTTCCCTCAGCAGCAAAAATCAGCCTTTAAACTTGAGAAAAAAGTTAGAGAAAAAACTATTTGTAAAAAAACTATTCGTACTTATCGTGATAATTATTGATATGAAACTTTTTATCGTGATAACATTTTTGGCCGTATCGTCCGGCCCTACGTCTTGATATGCACGGCTAGATGTGATTTCTGGAGCTCCGACACTAACAAATCTCTTTGTATTGAGGTAGAAAACACACTCAGGTTGCAGCTTCTCATTTACAGCCGGATCGCTTTCACGGATGAAATGACAAACGCAGCTGGAGGCAGATTGGGTCAGCTCAAGCTGTTTTGCTTTTACTGCTGAAATAAAACCTGGTTGTTCTCTGAAAACTGTCCGAATCAAAGTCAAAGTTCATCTGTGAGGAGGAAAATGTTGTCGAAGCCCTCGTTTTAGTAAGGTCTGGGTGAACAAACCTGTTAATAATATCAAGCTTTTCATCAAATCCTTGGAACAGCACGGTGGACAGCATCTGATGATACCAGGCAGTAGAATAAATCCAGCAGAGAAGCACACGACCCCTCGGCTGAACGGCAAACCTGACGGTCGGGAGAACTGATTAAAGACGTTCTCCAGCAGCGACGATGACGCCGCGCAGAGTTACAAACTAACTGAAAACAGCATTTCATTCCAATCAGGTCTTTTAGTGAACCTGCTACACAAAGTAACACAGTGTCTACACAGTCTGCACAAAGTCAAGCATGCATGTTAGCATAGCAACAGCAGCTTCAGTCCTCCATCTGTGTGCACACAGGAGGCGTTCAGGCACAGCACTGAGTGTGGGTCAGCTAGGATTTGGCACTGCTCTGAGCCCAACACACAATCACTGTAGTTACGTGCGTAAAAAAGAACTCCATGTCGCAGCCTGTGTAGACAGCTGACTAGGCTGAAAAACTTCTCCTCTGCAAAAAGGCCGGAATTTCCAAACATTACAATTAAAAGAACTTTTCGGATTACATTTTAAGGGCCTGACGACTTTTCAACTGCAAATCACCAAACCGATCACCCACCGTGTGAAGAGTCCAGAGGGTGACGTGGCAGAAAAGAAAAGTAGGACCAAGTCAGAAGGAGCCCCGTTAAGTCCCGTCCTCAGAGGAGTTTAGGCCTGGGCGGGTTGGCCCTGACCGAGGAATAGGCCCCGATGTGGGTGATGAGGTTGGGTTCCACGCTGTGAGACCTTTCCCCAGGGATCGTCCTCGCCATCTGATACAGAACCATGTCTTTGGCGTTCCCCTTGACACAGAAGGAGCCGTCCAGATACTCAGCCACCCTCAGCGAGGCGTTGCCCGGGAACAGCATGGCCGGCGTGCAGCACTCCGTGGCCGGGGAGACGGCGTAGAGCTGCGGGGAGAACCTCCGCGCCTCCAGGAGGTAGTGCCGCCCCAGCAGCTCCGCCACAGCCATGAAGTAGAGGGTGAAGAAGAGAAGGTGGCCGGCCGACAGCGTGAAGGAGAAAGCGCAGGGGTTCCAGTAAGGGAAGGTGAGGAGGAGGGCCGTCGCCCCAACCAGCCCGAGTCCCACCCACTCCAGGATGCGGTATGGCTCGGGGTTCCAGTAGCGCTGCAGCCTCTCAGGGTGATACAGCTTTATGTAAAGAGTCTGGAGGGCAAACCGCCGAGACAACAGGTCCTTTATGACCGTGAAAAAGTCCTCCGTCGGCAAAGCGTCGTCCTCCAGGACCACCATGTTTCTGGGCCTCACCAGCTGCCATCCCTTGCGGAGACAAAAGACGTAATCCCTCTTCTCCCTCTCGAAGGTGTTTAATTGTTCCCTGTTCCTCAGCTGCTCCCGAGGGGAACGCCGGATCACCTTGAAGTGGGACTCCAGCAGCTTGGCGTCCTGGTTTTCCTGGGGACCGCTTTCCACGTCGCAGACCAACACCTCTGCACACCGCCGCTCCCCACAGCCTCCCAGAATGGCGCTCAGCTGCCGCATCACCTGGAGCAGGTAGTGGAAGTCCCGCCCCTCGTTTCGCCTGGCAGTCACCACGGTGACCAGCAGCTCAGGATGTTGGGCGACGTCCCTGAACTTGGCAGACACCGCCGCTGCCGTGGAGGTGCTCTGAAAGAAGTGCAGAGCGTCCTGGCCTCGGTGGAGGCTTTCCCGCAGGACCCCCTCACTCATGGAGTCCAGGTACATGGACCTGATGAAGAAGTACGAGTAGAGCAGCCGATGGCAGCAGAGAGGGAGGAGGACGCCGAACGTGATGACGGACAGGACGAGGGCTTGGGTGACGGTGCTGGACCATCGCAAGCGCTGGCTGAAGAACGCTTTCCATCGAGGCATTGGTGGAACAGCCGGCTGGAAGCCCACAGCAGCAAAATGAACTCTGCTCAGGAGGGTTCAGGTCAACAATGAAGCGTCCCAGCATGCAGCGGTGAAACCCGATGAATCCGCGGGGAACTGATAGCTCTGTGGAAAAGGTGTTGGCACGTCTTCTTGTAAACCGAGAGGAGCTGGCCGTCTGCAGGGAGAGGAACAATTCAACAATTCATCACATGGAAATATTCTTTTCCCTCCTAAATTCAGCCTGAAGGTTTAGAGTGTTAGAGAATCTAAAATAAAGTTACTGAACAAACAGCATGAGAGCGTGAAGCGAGAACGATGTCGGTCCTAAAACTGAACTGAAATGGCCGTGTGGAGATTGATTACTGGTCTCTGTGAAGAGAGATTTGTTCCTTTTGTAAGGCTTCAGCAGGAAGTGAACATTTTATCCCACATGAGTCGTTTAACTCATCAGCTGAACTCCACGTTTACCATATGGACAAAAGTACTGGGACACCTACACATCACTTGTATGACCTCCCATTGTAAATGTATAGGCAGTAATATGGAGCCGGTCGAACAGCTTCCACTTCACTGGGACGGGTTTCTGCAGGATTTTGGAGTCTGTCTGTGGGAGTGGTTCCCCGTTCATAAAGAAAAACATTTGTGAGGTCACACACTGATGTTGGACGAGAGAGCAGGGCTGAAAAATTACATTGATAATTATCAGGATAAATGTCAAATCGTTTATTTCAGGTTTAAAGGCTGATTTTTGCTCGAGTGAAAGTTAATTTTTATATTAATTTATATATTATAGAAAAAATAATGACTAATGATAAATGATTAAATAAAACCTACACATACTTCAATTTTAACCATCACATGAGTATTTTTTCATGTTTGACTTGAATTGTATGGAATATTGTCCAAGAGTTTGAGATGAACGGACATCAGTTAGTTAAAAAGCAGTTATGAAATACTTCTGGTAGGCTGTGATTTTTAACCATACATTTATACATGAGGATTCTGTACGTGATGGGTACTGATGTTGAAAATGGATAAAATATTTAATTTCTTGAACAGAGGAGCTGATGGTTCAGTTTCCAATCTTAAAAACCTTTTTTGGATTTAAACAGTCAACGTGTTGTTTCCAAGGAAGATTTTCATCTACTGATACACCCAAACATTTTTGCTTGGTTGATTTCAACATTGTTAATAAAACAATTTAGCATCCTGCTTTGAATACACCGATTTCTGGTGGAAATGTTTTCACTCATATAAAAAGGGAAACACAGAATTCAGGTGAGAATTAAAAATATAACAGAATACAGGCTAACATGGGGTGAGACGCCCCCCCCCACGTAACTATAACAAAAAACACAATGTCACAATTGTTCTCTCAACATTTCTTCTGGCTGCCGCTCGACTGACTGAACTAAATATTTCCTGTGTTTCATCACAATGTTTGAAGTTATCTGATCAAAGCCACGCTGACCTGAGTCGATATTTTTGTCATTTAAAATAAGCTGTAATTTTTTACATTGTGTTAAATGTTTATATATACTGACATTAAGGGGAGCCTGAAGATAAGTTTGTTTAGAGAGAAAGATTTTTATAATTTTTGGTTAAATGCTAGATTAGTATGTTTGGTGCCCCCCCCATGGTTGATGGTTGATGGTTTATAAGTTAGATGTTATTTAGACTCTGGATGGACCGTCAGCCAACCAGCAGCTTCACTATCAGAAAGTCTGAGGTTAGAAGCTCACATATGTTCATGTGCATATTTTACCTCAGACTAATGAAGTTCCAGCAGCATCACTGTTTAAAAGTCTGAGAAATAAATTTACAGGAAAGCTGATACCATCATCATTTCTACAACAGAGCTAGCTGTACTTTATTTTATCTGTAATTTGCACCTATTAAAGTAATTTCACACCATGGGGGGGTACTTTAATTTGTTAACTGTAGCTATATATAAATTAATTAATTACCCTAAGCATGGCCATTTCCAAGATACAAACCCTATAGCTTGAGCTTGCAGTAATAATTAGTTTTACTTTTATGGACAATGCACATTTATTCCTTCTATACTTACATCGCATGTTTTCTTACTGCACAAACGAGCATTTTCATTTCTTGTTGCTATTTTCAGGAATCTTTGAACACGTTGTGTTTTTAAATCATGTCCATTTCCCTGAACAAAGTCCACACCAAGAAAAAACAGCCCAACAACCGGGGTGTCCCAGTACTTTTGTCCATTTAGTGGGTCTCGCGGCCAGGATCGGAGACCCTCCACAGTCCACCTGGACTCCCCTGGGCGGCTGTTGCTTTAAGGTGACCTTTGATCCACAGTAGTGAGATCACTTCACGTGCGATTTTGTTTCAATAAAAATGTGAAAATCTGACCTACTGGTTTCAGCGACAGGACCTGACCGCGAGAGACCAGGACGTCCTCAGGACGCTGAAGGACAGAGTCTACATTATTCCAGCCGCCTGAACTAATAAAGTGAATAACTGCAGACACACCTTCTGAATCCTCCTCAGATTAGACACACAAACACCTGGATGCGGTCCCCCGTTCGCTTTTAGTGACGGCGCTTTTTATTTTTAGTAGCCTGCTCCGTTTCCGGTGTCACGGTGCGCTACAGTGTGTCCGCTGAGATAGCGGATCCAAAGATCACCGTTCACCTGAAGAAAGAGTGCGGCGGTAGTTGGCAGCAGGCTGCCCGACAGGCTGCCCGACAGGCCGGGGAAACTTTACAGATGCACAGCCGACAGTCTGAGGGAGAGAAAAGCCGAGAGCTGGAGGAGGAGGAGGAGGAGGAGGTGGAGGAGGAGGAGGAGGTGCTGCTGCTGCTGCCGCCGCCATGTCCTCACAGCTACGGTACTACACCGCCGTAATGCAGCGAGTACAGGCGCAGGGACTGAGCTCCCGGCCAGCAGGGGCCGCTGCGGGCCCTCAGAGAGGAAAGGAAGGGTGAAGCCAGCTGAAATGGGCCAAAAAAGGTTGGAGCTTTATGGCCTCTAACATTTTGCAGCCAATCACAAGTACTGATCTTGCATTCACTGGTTCACATGTAAAAATGGGTTTTGATTTCTTTCCACAGCCTACATGAGAAAGATCCTTTGGAAAAAGAGCTTGACACAGTAAATTTCACTCATCACTAACGCAATTACAAGTAAGCAAAGTTAAACATTTATGAAATCTGTTTTTTCAGGCACTTTCAAATAAAAATAGTCCAAGATTTTTGTGAAAATAGTCCTTTTAGGTACTTTTTAAACTCGCTAAAACATCTCAGGTAAAATGGGCCAGAGGCAACATGCTGACACTCAAACTCTCATAATTACAAAGCAATTGTACTTTTACAAATAAATCTGGGAGAGACCCATGCCAGTTTATAAAAATATCTTTAGATCTCATGCAGAGCTTGTTAGATGGTCTGACTCCAGCCTACATCACTTTTTGGTTTTCAGTAGCAGTGGTGAGGCCCTGGTGGTGGGAATTACAGCTCTTTGACAGATCGGATCTGTTGGCCCGGCCTCCCAATCCAGCTGGAGCAAATGAAAGAAATCTATTTTGGAAGAGATAAATGAAAAAGTCTTACCCCATCTTACGCTACGCTTCGTTTACATGTCAGAAGCAGATTCATAGGGATTTTGCATTAATGTGGGAGAAAAGGTTTATAAAACTCAAAATAAGTACTTTATAATACGTTTATTATTAATTATTATTATTAATTCTAATGGCAAATGTAAACTCAGCAGTAAAAAACCCAACTTTGTACTTTTTCTCCGTGAACTTGAGCATTATGTCAATTTAATTTCTAAATCCAGCAACAAAGGGCGAAAACTGTCAACATATGGTGCTCTTAATATCTCAGATCAAGTTTTTATTATTTCCGTCGTCTTATATATTTGGGTACTGTTCTGTTTACTTCTTTATGTCCCATATAGTCTACATTTTGGCTCTTCATTTAGTACCACCTCACTGCCTGAGTTAATGTGCCAGAGTTTTCATCTTATTGGTGGTTACAAGTTGGATATGTCAACTGTGCTGCGGAGGTTATTTTGGAAATGTAATATTACAGATTATAAGTTTCACTATTATTACATTTTAAATAGCTTACTATTTCTATTACTTATCAAATTAATTTAACTTATTACATTTAAGTCTTTATTTCTAATGAATGTTTGATCATTTTCAAAGGCAGCTTGAGAGGCAGGTTAACTGGCAGACGCTGCAAATTTAAACCTGAGAACCAATCAGAACAGCTTTGAACTTTAACAGCTGTGGCTGGAAATGTCAAATCAGAACATTGTGCACATGCAAAATGCTTTTTACAGAAAATATTCAGATGTTACCCCCAATGTGATCATGAACATTTTCATGAGTAACTGTAATTTCATTAAACATTGTTCCTCAGTATTGTAAGGGATTACAGTTACATTAGTTTAATTTAATAACTTAACTAAATTACATATAACTAATATGGTTTTGTTTGTCCACAGATTGGGGTGATATACAGAAAGGAGCTGCTTCATGGAGCCACGTCGGGCCCCAAATAGGGCTGGGCGATATGGCAAAAGAAAATGTAATCAGGATAAACAACCCATTGTTTCTGATTGCCTACCTGTGTGGCTGTGTGGAAATAAATGTTATGTTATTAGTTTCAACATGTTTTGTTTCTCCTTTGCTAGTTAACTCAGCTGTTAGAGTAATTAGTTTATGGATATTAATATAGACGTGTCATTTAATGCCCCTGTTTACCACTAGGTGGTGCACTTTGTTTTCTGATGTGAATGTATTCTGTCTGTCTACCTGACTGCTTATGGATGACTAGTGCTCTTAAATATTATTGGTGTTTGTTTACTACGGTCAATTACTAAAGTACTTCGTTCTGTTATGAATATTTTAACCTGAGAAAAAACCCATGTACAGGATGGGGAATATTCTGTTATGCATGTGACTTAAACCTTATTATTTATCCAACGAAGGTTAAAAATCAAGGGCAACTGGACTTGGTTGAAGATTGAGGTTGAAGGTTCAACCAAGTCCAGTTGCCCTTGACTTTAACCTTCGTTGGATAACTATGACCTGGATGACTGAGAATCTTCATTGACATCTTATTATTTATATTTGTTGTATTTCTGCAGAACCACATGTTACAGTCAGTTTACATGTCCTGTGCTCTGCTGTCATTCTAACCGATGTACCGGAGTGAAGGCTCCTGAGTGAAAGTTAATGTGGTTTTAAACTTTTCTTTCTGGTCAGAACAAACACTTGATGCCAAACAGAGGATCAATTCACACATCTGACGCAGAACATTCAGAACTTTCATCTGTTTTCAGTCCCTTTTCCTCAACATCCATCCATCCATCCATCCTGACATCGGGTGAAAGGCGGGGTCCACCCTGGACAGGTCGCCAGTCCATCGCAGGGCCACACAGAGACAAACAACCAGTCACACTCACACCTAAGGACAATTTAGGGTCACCAGTTAACCCAGTGTGCATGTCTCTGGACAGTGGGAGGAAAGAACCCACGCAGACACGGGAACGACATGCAGACTCCACACAGAAGTTTATTTTATTCATGTCATCAGTGCAGCGTCACATCTGTCTGCACAACACTTTCTCTTCAGGCAGCCAAAATTATATTTTAAATTCACCAACATCGTATGTGGGATTCAGGGCTCAATTCTAATGGGATAAAAACACAAGTTGTCTCTCGCCATTGACTACCGTACATCCTTTTTCTGAAATAAGGTCCCGTGGGGACAAAGGACTTAGGCTCTCTATTAGACAACTCCTGGGAAGCCCGCTATTTGATGGATTGTGTTTGCTTCTGTCGGATTACGGGAGGTGTTGTTGGGAAGTTGATGAAACGCGTGACAATGTGTGGAGCCGAGATGTTTATTTTGTTGAGGAAAAAGGGACTCAAAAAAGATTCAACTTAATTTTACTCGTGCAGATTTGTTGAAAACAGATTTTATCATAATAGTTCTGAATGTTCTGCGGTAGATCTGTGAAGTGAAGAATTGATCCTCTGTTTGGCATAAAGTGTTTGTTCTGACCAGAAAGAAAAGTTTAAAACCACAATTAACTTTCACTCAGGAGCAAAAATCAGCCTTTAAACTCGATAGAAGTGATAATTTAACATTTATCCCAATAACTATAAGTATCAAATGATATGGAATTTTTTATGGCGATAACATTTTTCTAGTATAAATAGTATTTTAGCTTTGAAAATGTTAAAGGAGACTGGGGGAGCCAGGTTGATGGGCCTGATGCAGCTGCAACATTAATATCTAGTATTGCTTAAATTTGTCAGTAGAGTAGATGGCATCTGTGTCGCCAGGTCATTTTTAATGAATTTTAAATTAATATTATGACTTTATTCTCATTATATTGCAATTTTATTCTGGTGATATTATGACTTTAGCTAAAAAATATTATTCTGCAAATGTGAGAGAACACAGATCTGTGGGAGAGATTCTGAATGTGCATAAAGAGCAAAGAACCTTCTGAAACACAGGAGCTATTAAAGTCCAGGAGTTAGATAACTGAATTAAAATGAATTGATTTATCGTTGAGGTGAAAAGTTGCCGCATGCACATTTAAAGACTTTACTTCAATCATGCCTGCATGTGTGCTGACTCAGCAGGGATGAAATTAAATGAGAAAAGTTGATCTACATATCTGACAGCAATACAGAAGGCTTGAGAGCCTTACTGCGTTATATTACATTTTATATTCTGAATTGTCACCAGGATCACCTGAATTTTGTGTTTCCTTTTATATAAATAAAGATATTTCCTCAATAATTTGGTGCAGAAAAATTCACCAAAATGCAGGAAATGAAGTGTTTCTAGCCCAATCTTTTGAGAAATGTATTATGTACTGATTATTCATAATTAAAATGTAGCTCAATATTTTCTAGGTAAAGTCAGTTTAAGGTTTAGTTTCACAAATGGCATAAGAAGGTAGCAACAGAAAAGGAGACGGTTGATGGAGTTTGTGGGTCATTTACTGTTGCTTTATAGACCTACTTTAGGTAGGTGTGGGGGTGAAAACAGGTGAAAGATTTCTAAGCCCTCATTGTTTCAAGAGCCTGGAAACGCCCCTGGTAGATGGTGGATCATAAGCCAGTAACAGCACAGTTGAACCAAATCCAGTACCAGCACAGACCCAGTCGAAACGTCTTTAGCGGGTCACACAGACCCAGGTGAAACACAGGCACAGCCAGAGGTCTACAGGCAGCAGCAGTCCTAACAGACTTCATGAGGACTAGTAGAGGTAGTAGTGAGAGCACTGCAGTGTCGGGTGTGACTGTGCACAAGTGGCTCACAAGTCAGATAGGAGGGGCCCGTGCCAAAATTCTTCAATGAAATGACAACGCCAAGATTAATGAGCTAAGCAAGGGAAGCTGGTGAGGCAACCACCAAACATTTACGTGGGGGGGGTGAGGGGGCCTGTGCCCCAGTAGAGCTTTATCTGTAGCAACGCCCCTGCTCATGACAACAGGTGGCGTTGTCGGCCTATTTAAACAGTAGAGCCTAACCCTCTAAAAATATGTGACAGTGTCATATAAACCAGTTACAGAGCCTCTCTTTGCCGTCAGTGTTACGCAATGCTTTAATAAAGAATATCAGTGTGTGTGTGTGTGTGTGTGTGTGTGTGTGTGTTATCTTTGTGATTATTATGCCTGGTTCTTGTTAGAGATGAATTCACTGTAATTCTGCAGATAAAACTCCAGTAAAGTTTTAGTCAGTGGTCTTTTATCATGAAATGCAGTAACAGTCTAATGTCCAGATGAAAACATGAAACACTGACGCACGTTTCAAAAACCTCCACGATGAAAGCCAGTGACGTTTTTCACTACTACAATTCTGATGATAATCTCTACAGTGCAGGGGTGGGAGAAGTGTTCAGATCCTGTACTTAAGTAAAAGTAGTAATATCAGCCTGAGAAATTACTCCACTACAAGGAAAAGTCCTGCATTCAAAAGTTCGTATTATTGGCACAGCGTAGTGCAGTAAATGTTCCCTGCGAGCGTTTCGCTATTATGTTTTTGAGTCCACCGCTCACACTGTAAATATTTGATATCTTTTCATGTGACAACACTGAATAAATAGCACTTTGCTCCGATGTAAAGTAGTGTGCAGCTTGTAGAACAGTGTAAACTCGTATCTTAGTTCCTAGTTCGGTGTCTTGGCTCTTAGTCTTGTACCTTAGTTCATGTCTGTAGTGTTCACTCCTGGACGTCTGTGTTTTTTGCCCATGTCTGCTGAGTTCTGTTTTATCTTTGCTTCAGTCTGTGTTCCTTGTTGTTGTTGTTAGTGTATTCGTGTCTGGATTAGTTTGTTGTTTTTAATTAATTTAAAGTTACTACTTACTTTGATACGGTCCACGTTTAGTTTTCAACAACTTGTGTTCTGTCTGTTCCCCCCCAGTAATCTGCCTGCCAGCCAGTCTCTCTGTTTTCCCCTTCTGACTCTCTGCCTGCCTCGTCAGTCCTGATCCGGGTCACCTGTGTTGCTCCCGCCCTGCTCGTTAGCCCCTGTGTTTATATGTTTGGTCATTCCTGGTCTGGTCCTTGTTGTTGAGTGTTCTGTCCTGTCCCTGCCTTTGCTTACCTCAGTTTGGATTTCCTGTTGTTTGGACTTTGCCGTGTACCAGCGAGAGCCTGTTTAGTTGTTGGTTTAAATAGCCCACCTGCACTGCATCCTGCTTTTGTGTCTTGCGTTTGGGTCCTAACCTGCCTCTGCACTCAGCCAACTCTGACATAATCAGATATTTACAAAAACGTGAGGGGTGTACTCGCTTGTGAGATACTGTACGTACGTAGAGAGATAATTTATTCATCCCCGCTGGGAAACTGCAGTGTCATAGTTTGCATCGGTTTCAATAACTAAAATAGACACAGTTAAAGTCACAACACGTTCACATACATACATAAAACACACAAGGTATGCGGCAAACGGGCACGAGGAAGGAGCTGGAGGAGGAAGCTCGTGCAGAGGAAGTGTTCTCCATCATTTTGAGCAGTTTGTGCTACAGGATAAATATTCCTGCTGCACTGATGTGGATGCTACATTTTACTGCTATAAATGTTTTAACTACTTTATAGTTTATGTGTCTGCAGCATCGCTGTCCTGACAGAGAACTTCTCATGGGCTCAGATAAACAGCCCTGTTTCCAGCTAATCTAAGGCCAGTTTTAATAGTTTATTTAGATTTAAGAAGTAGGATCATTATCTCAAAATTTCATCCTTCAGTTTATCAGAAAAATTCGGAGATGCATGTACAGGAAAGGTAAGAAAGACTGTAATCTTGATAGATGTCAGATAAATGTGGTGGAGTAAAAAGTTCAATATTGGAATTGAATCCCTCTTGACGGGTTATCATACATAACCAGAAATAGATTGGACCAATACCCTTATACCTGGAAACCACTTTTAAATAGTATTGAGTATGTTTATACTGTTTTATATGTTTATGAATATATCAGTTGGGAATTGTGATCAGACGGTGAATCCACACTGTGTGCACTGAGCTGTCTCTTTGTTATGCTTTGTTTCTGTGTAATGGAGAACTATAAAGTAGCATAAAATGAAAATACACAAGTAAAGTGCAAGAACCAAATTGGTACTTACAGTATTTGAATAAATGTA